TATGATTTTCGATTTTCTTTTTGTTTGGGTACAATAAATCACAAAAGCACTTTAGAGAGTGTGAAAATTGTATCTAACAATTTTCGCAGCTCTTACCTGTGGTGGTAGACTCAGAAAAATAATTTCGGAATTTTTCATCATGCCTTCCTATTTTTCCCAATTTTTGTTAATTATAATGGCCTAAAAATAGGAAAACTAGTTCTGATTATCCAAAATTCGTGAAATTTTACCAGAACATCATGTTGTACAGTAGGAGGTCACATAAAACATTTGATGATTTTTGTGTACGGTAAACTATTTTTCTCCTATTTTCTATGGTTAAATACACTTAAATACACTTAAATACACATAAATACCCAAAACCGGATTATACAATATGAAAACCACTTTGGTATTTTTCCCAGATTACTTACACTATAAATGATGTTACAAAATTTTTTGGTAATTTATTTTAACTGTTTTTTTATTTATTTTTCAATTAATGATTATTTAAGGGGATAAAACAAGAAAAACTAGAAATACCCACTGAAAAATATATTTTATATTTTTCCCAGCCTAGTTATGTATAATAACAGTTAAATAAAATGTTTGGGTAGTTTTGGAAATTGTTTTCTATTTATTTCAATTTTTATTGGAATAAATGCATAAAAATCATAAAATAAAACTAAACAGCTTGGAAATCCATTTTTATATTTTTCACAGCTTAGTAATGTGTGATAACAGTAAAATAAAAAGGTTGAGAATTTTTATCCTGTGAATGCTATTTTTCGTAAATTTATGTTGTTATGAAGGCTTAAATATCAACAATTTAAGGAAAATTTTCTGGAAAACCTCTATTGTATTTAGAATGAAAATACAAGGTTTGACAATTTTTGGAAACTGTTTGATAATATTTTACATTTTTAGGAATATAAAAAACCTTTAAATGTTTTGAAACACTCTTAAATTTATATTCCTAATCTGGAAAATTAATATCCCAAAGTTGTATTAATCGCATGACTTGTAGAATTTCACAATTTCAGAAAAAGTGTAACCAATTAACATAAAATCCAATATTAGAACATAAATTGGCCTTTCACAATATGTAGAGTTTAGTATATTAGCATTAGATTTCGAGATGGAAACTCACTAGTGTGTGTTTAATGTCGTAGGATCCCAGTATTAAGACGTTGGTGTATTCCGAGGCACCACTTGTATCTACTCGAAACATTGTGAGTATTCACGCACTCCCCTATTTTCAATTTTTATGTTTTGGGTTGGAAAAGCATGTCCAGAAAAACTATTATTTGCATGTTGTATTTAAATTGACTTGTATCAAACATGATTACAATTGTATTGCTATGTCTCTCTATGTATGTCTATGCAACACAGAACATGAGAACTTATCGTACTAAGGCCCTTCCCTTATCTCTAACAATTAAATCTTTGAGCCAATGGTCATTATGGATAGCACTATTAGGAATTGACAACCCCTCACTCGCCCTATTGCTGGAGTGCATGATACAATATTCATCTATGGAACGATAAGCATAGATCTTGATAGGGCTTCAGTCATCGGTTTGGTTGAGACTCATTGTTTGCTCATACACATACAAACTCGTTTCTCGTTATAACAATAAACTTGTATTCATTAATAGCAATCAACTCTTTTCTCATTAAAGCAATGTACTTGTATTTACGAGAAGCCTTATTTAAGCTCAATTTATAAACTTGTGAACTCACCAACTATTTTCATAGTTGATGCTCGTTTTACATGCTTTTCCAGGAAATAATTAGTAAGTGGATCTAAAGAATCATCATCATAGAGCATGCTGCATCGTGTTGAAGTTATTTATGAAGATATCTTTGAACAATGTTATTTTGGAAAAACTTGTATTTTGTTTCTTTTGAAGCTATGGGTTGTAAACTTTTAAATACTGTTATGGTGATGTATCTTTATCTTTTTCAATGAAACCGTTATCGCTGTCATATCTTGCGTTTTCGCTCTAGTGGGGTGTGACAGTATTCGTATCAACGAATGAACTAAATCTGGCATAGTTTATATGTTTAACTTTGCATGAAATTTGAATCTGTATGACAGGTAATGAAATCCCAAACTATACCTATTATAGTTTGAATGGTTGTTACGTTCGGGTATGGTTTTGAAAACCATGCAATTATGAGTCGAAAACATCCCTTATGCTCCGCATAATACAAAAGGGATAATTATATCTAAACGTTTGATAGAAAATCATTGTAATTGCATCAGTTTTTAAGTTATGAAAACCTTTATGTTTAACTTGTATTCCCCCCTTGAAAACATGAAAAACTTGGAAAAGTGTAGGGGTATGAACTCACAGTTTAACGTAGGATCCGAAAGCACAATTGGTTACGAGCATCGAGTGTCAACCGATGTTTTGTTTGCATGTTGACCCTATGAACATATATTACACATATATATATGTATTAGATTGAGTATCCCATGATACATCATGTTGGAAAAACACCCTAAAGGCTTGGAATCACTAGAACTAAGTGTTCTATGTCTCATACTTAGGGATCTTTACAAGCTCAAGGCCAAATATGAGCATTAGAGTGGGTGTATGGCCATAAAAATAAGGTTGCGGCCAGGTTGTGTGTGCGATTACACACATGAGTGTGCGGCCGTATAGAGGGTGTTTGCGGCCGTATACTCCCCATTTGAGTCGAAAATGTCGATTTTGAGGTGTTTCCTCCTCACTTTGGAGAGTTTTGCATGTGTGCGACCACCTTATGAAGGTGTGCGGCCGTACACCTTCAAAGGACGAAGAACACGAAGAACACTACGATTTTTGGCTTAGTTTCAAGTGTTTTACCAGTATAACAACCTGATTGATGGAGTCATTCATGTTTTTGAAGCCCTTACAGTGTTCTTAAATGAACTTTTTAGAGAGAGAAAGTAGTGAGAGAAAATAGAGTGCAACCAAAGAGAGGGGAAGAGTCAAGGAACGGGGGTCTCTTCCATTATATAGGGTCAGGTGTGAGGCTGGAGGGTGTGTATGGCTGGGGTGTGCAGCTGGCTGGCCGCACACATGGGTGTGCAGCTGCACATACCTTCCTTGGTGTGTTTGGCTCAGTTTTGTGATGCTACACACTTTCTAACCCTTCTTAAGACTCATATCTATGATATTCTAAGCCTAAAGCACTCCTATGGACCCAAAATTTTGCTAAAAGATGGTAAGTTTGAGATAAATATTGATACACGAATCAATTGCACATGATAAAATTTTCGAGTTGTCACAAGCATGGGGTGTCGATTTTAGTGGTTTCAGATAGGGATGTTTGGTTTATTTCAAAATTTTAGAAGAGGTTTCATAAGGAGTGATGAGAATAAAACTCTAGATCGATTAGATCTTTCACACGCATGATTATGGAAATCGAACAAGTCAAAAACAGTAAGAAAGTGAACACAAGATGGAATCAAATGTATGCTTATGATTCAAATAAAGTCACGCCTCAGTAGAGTTTGATGAAGAACTTCCACTGTAGAGGCGAGCTAGGGTTTACAAGACTCAGAGAAAATAAATGATAAAAACGATAACATCTAAGACTGTATACATGCAACTTCTATACTAAACCCTAGTACAAAACATGCACGGTTGGACAGGCCCAATACCGGCAATCAAAACTGGGCTAAGGACCGAGCCCATGATGCAATCTAATAATCCCAACAATCTCCCCCTTTGCGTCAAATGAGGTGAGAGATCATTTCTTCTGTGTTGGCTTCACTGTCTTTATTACTTTGAACATACGAGGAATTATTGCGTGAGGTGTCTGTCGAAACTGTATGTACCACCTTAGCATGTCAGTGAATAATTTCTTATCAGAAGCACTATTCTGATCACGCCTTTGAATAATCTCTAAGATATGCTCTAGGCATGATGTTGAGAAGAGATGTTTGTGAACAAGAGCAAACGGACATTTCTAACCTTCGCTCCTGAGGAACATAACAGTTTGATAATCCGTATCAATCTTCCCCTTGACCATAGTGTTGAAATTGCCTGCTTTGCCTATAGCCTAGATCGTTGTTCTCTTGTGAATGGAAGAGGCAATCTCCTGGTCCATCTTCGCTACCTCCTGAATGTAGCACACAAGCATTCGGCTGAGATGGTTAATTATTGGCTGGTACTCCCGTGGATTTGATAGTAGGATATTGTTGAGGAGTATCCAGTCGTGGGGATTAAGGTTTGGTAGATTAGCACGAGTGAGGTTGAGAACCAAGCCTTCGGTGCCTCGAGTCACATTGAATTGAACATTAACAAACTTCCCCGATGATTAGGGCTTCAAAACCTTGACAGTTGTAATCTTCTTCAAACTCCATGTCAAGTACCAGGGTTAAGCAAACTCCAAGTAGAACTCCAGCAGATCCCTATCTACATTCGGGTCTGGGGAAGGAATAACAACAGTCGAATTGAAGCAATGGAAAATAAATTCCTTTTGTGTGATTGGCATGTCGAACTGTGCGTCCTTGGAGTTCTCGAGCCCAAATGACTATTAGGCTCAAGCCAAAGTATGCTTGGCTCATCGATTATGCATCTCTGAAGCGAAACTGTAGTCCAGACAGGAAACATGGACTTTTTCTTCTCTAGGAGCTCTGCCTGTTGTTTCTTGAGTTTTTCTTCTAGCTCTTTTTCGGAGAGCTTTACCTTCAGAAAAGGATTTTTAGGATTCTCAACATAGACGTTATCCTCATCATCTGTGTCATCTTCTCTAAGCTTCTTCTTCTTTTTCTCTTTGTTATTGACCGAAGCTTCATTACCCTTCGGTTCAGTAGATGGTCTCGGTCCAGGTGGAGGTTGAGTTTGCTTTTCTCCCCCGTGTTTTGGTTGCACACCAGTCACCGGGACACCCTCAATACGACTAAGGATGTCCAATGCTAGCCTAAGTTTATCAGCCAGATGCCGTCTGGTTGTAATGGTGATGATTGGATCATGCGCTTCAAGGAGATAAAGGAGGATGGAGTGAACATCAGCCACTGAACTCTAAATGACTTCCTTTTCTGACTTCAGATCATTGAGCTCAGTAGTAGCAGAACACAACTTGTAGTTTTGCTTTTTCAGCTGTGAGGTTCGCCTGTCAAGCTCATCCATGATGCGATTCTCTACAGCCAATTCGGCCTCAAGTTGAGTAAGATGATCATTGACATTAGCATGTAGAGAGGCATTTTCAGCTTCAATCTCTTGGCGTGTAGCTTCAAGGCTAGATCTTTCAGACTAAAGGGGCCCCTGAAGATTATCCACCGAAGCGTTGATGGTTTGAGCATTCTTCTAAGCAGCAACCTGCAAGGAATCTAAAAATAGTTGAGCATTAGAATCTAGTTTATCAACTTTTATGGTCAGTTCCTTGCACTCCTTAGTAGAAGCATCAACAGGAAGTGAGGCTTGTTGACACTGTGAAGTAGAGGCTTCAATGGCTTTTGCTGCAGCAGAGAGTGAGACACTATGTTATTTGACAACAGATGAGAACAAGTCCTTTAAAGCATATTTAGAGTGAGCTCCGGAGGAAGAGGATGAGAGCAGTTGATCAAGCTTTTCATTCACTGCCTTGAGATGACGCTTTGTAACAGGCGCATCATCATCATCGTCACTCTGTACATGGTAAGGACTGAAATACGTGGAATCAAATTCGAAGTCCTCACCACCTAGAATAGGGGTTGTTTCTGTAGATTGAGTGGGAGATAAGGGTTTGGTTGTGGCTGGAGGTTCGGTTGTGATAGGTGGTTCGGTTGTTACTGGTGGAGTGGGGGCGGTAGAATGAGCACCTGTTGTTGTAGTGGTGGTGGTAGTGTCTGTGAATATGGGAGTAGGGATGGGAATTGTAGTGAATGGTTGAGTGGTTGGAATGGGAAAAATGTGAGGGATAGATACTGGGATGGTTATAGGTGAAGGTGAAGGAGGGTGAGAGCGAACTGCAAGTTCTAGGGTAGGGGAGCGAGGTGGAGTATCACCTCGGCCCAAAGCCACATCATCATAGCTTTCGCTCTCGGATTCTGAAGGAGGAGCAATCTTATGTTGGGGAGGAACACACTCTGAATCTTAGTCACTTGAGGATTGTAGTATTAGCCTCCTAGCGGGCTTCTTCAGCTTCTTCAGTGGAGGAGGTGATGTAACAGCCTTATCAGACTTTTGCTTCTTAGGGGTTTTCTCTTTGGTTGGTTTGGAAACTTGTGCCTTATTGTGGGTTTCAGGTTTCTTGCCCCTTTTAGCAGGTTTTTCAGCCTCATCAATAAAGCGAACCATGGTTGGGGTAAGCTCCCTTTGACCTGAAGATGGATGCTTCCTGGATTGTTGGAGAATGTTACTCGACACAGAGATAGGAGTGAGCATAGCTTCCAGAATAGATCCAATAAATGAGTACTTGGTGGGATCGGTGACAATAATTTTGGTTGTGTGAAAGGTAGCAATGGAGGAGAGAAGAGAGTCCACCATGATTGGAACATGAAGGTGGTCCATTGCCCAGTTGGTGATAATTGACCAAAATCGCCCACATGAGATCTCAGAGTGCCTGGATGAAGAGACCAAGCTTTGTATCAATTGCTTCCAGATGATAGTTCCAAAATCCAAGTTGATCCCATGGTACAGCCCATATAGCACAATCATAAAAGACTTGCTTGCACCATCTGAACCAGCGCTTCGATTAGAGAGTCCCTTAAACAGCAATGTGAAAAGGCCATTCCATTGAGGAGGAAGGCAGGACTTCTAGAACTTTGTGATTGTGGTAAGGGTTTCGGTATATCCTATCTGATAAAACATAGAAAAAATGACCAGTGGTGATGGATTCAGGATTTACCAGAGATTGTTCTTGAGAAAGACCAATTAGGGAACATAAGCGGTGCTTGGACATAGAGGTCCTCTCATTGTGGATTTCGAAGTGAATCCTTTCATGAAGCCTATCATAGTAGGTAGTGGAGTAGACAAGAGAAAGGCACGACATTGGTACGACATCGAATTTGGTGAGTGCTTCGACAAGAGGTGAGTATTTAAGATACTCAACAACGTATAGCATATAAGGCTCATAGACAAACGGAGTGAGATCGATGATCATGTTCTGTTGGGGTTTGATGGTGAGAAGTGGTTGACAAACGGAAGTATCATGAACGGACGAAGAGTCTGCCATTGTAGTAGCTTGAAGACGATGATGAACAGTAAGAGAGATCGCCGGTGTTCTTTGAGAGAATTTGGGAAGTGATAAAGGTTAAAGAGTACTGTTCGAATCCCTTTTATACATACAAGGAGGAGAGAGAAAAATTCGGCTGAGGTCATGGATTATTTCAAAAATAGCGCCTGACTTGACGGATGAACAGTTGGCATACCGATGATGATGAAGGAAAGAGAAAGGATGTTTCCTTTTTGGCATGCCATTCCATAAATTTCGCTTTATCAAATCATCAAACCGATTGGATAAACGGTGAGTCAGCTTCCACTTTATCCCAATCGTCACTCCTAAAACATTTGAATCGTCATTGCCTATGATGCTTTATTGAACACCATTAAAAGAACATGAGTGTGGAAAATTAAAATTCTCGTGCATAGAGTGTTAAAGGTAAGGAAATAAAGCAAATGTTTTGGGATAATCTGTGATGCCTTAAATAAACATAAAACAATGGATTATGGGCATGAATCACTTCCTTCGAAGTCAAGAGAAACATTTAGGTACTTGCTTGGTTTCCCATGAAATAACGAGCAATAACTTGTTAAGAAGTATTGAAAGGCATCTTTTAAAGGATATAAAGGGTGGCTTTCGCTTCAATTCATAATTTCGATACTCGACAAGAGATCAAAACCAAATGAAGTACGTGTGAGATCATTGTGATCTGTTAAACAAGTAGGTAAGATATCTTTTATAGTGACAAAAGGAAGTATAGAAATCTCAAAAAAAAGAAACTGGATCTTTAAGGGAAGAAAAGCCTTGGTTTTAGACAAATTCATAAAAGATCACTCAAAAATAAAAAGAGATTTCATTATGTAACAAGTAAGCTCTTGAATATGAGAATTCACCATCAATTCACTTGTGGTGTTGAATTGTGGGTTTCACTTAGTACATAGTGGCATGAGACTAAGATCATTAACATAGATTTTGTATAACCATAAACCTCAATGGTAAATGCTGAGAGTCTCAGGGGTTATATTGGTGATACAAAGTATAATCGAGAAAAATAGTGGAGATGGTATAGGACGTGAATGTAACTCTGCTCTAAAGACAAAGAGTGACCAAGCAGAAAACTCTAAACTCAATGTGATTAGAGAAAGGTAGCTCATGATTAGAGTGAATAGTACAGCTTGAATTGGGAAAACATGATTTTTATATATCATGTTATTAAGGCGTCACTCAAAATCTTTCGAGGTTGTAGTCAACATACAACAACATGCTTCTAGGGACACCTAACTAATGGGATAAAATAAAATAGATATACCTGCTTGAGCTCCACCATCGAGAATTACACTTATACAAAGAAAAGTAGTGGAAAAAAATATTTTTGTATTTTGTGAAAGTTATTTAATTGAACGAAAGAGAAAAAGATTTTTTGTTTTTATGAATAAAATGGAATTAAAAAGTATTGTACATACGAATACAACCAAAACACGTTGAAAGAAAAAAGGGGCAAATACATCCAGAAGGACCGAACCCGTAATAGACTGAATGATCGGATCATTTCGGTTTTTGGTTGAGCCGAACCCGAAATAGACCGAACGTTCGGTTCATTTTGGTTTGCCCTATTTCGCTTCTAACCTTTATTGATGTGAAGGCGATTTGGGTACTGATTCTACTTCCATCATTCCTAGGCCTTGTAGAATCTTGTTGAAGCTCGCTTCAGGTAAAGCCTTAGTGTAACATACACGTTCTGAAATTGTGTATTGTTATTTTTAAAAGTGAATAAAATTGAGTGTTGTGTTATAATAGCTAGTTTTTACTAGAAATGAAGTAAAACTATGTTTAGAATCACTCATAAAATATTGGAAGTCTTATGAGATTCTAATTAATATCCAAATAATGAAAATTTAGCGAAAATATAAAATTTGAAATAAGTAAAATTTAATTATTTGATGTTGTAGAGAATCATTTTAGAAATATTTACGTGAAAACCTCGTCGAAATCTGAGTTATAACAAAGAAGTTATGACCAACCGAAGATGTGCGACAAAACCGACACGGCGCTGAATGGCGTAAAAAGTGAGTTTTTGATAAACTACTTTTTAGCCTTAGTAATCTAAATATTTGATACATCATAAATGAGAATCGAACGTCTCGTCATTTGTAGTACAACGGTAAAGAGTCTGATGAAAACGGATGTCGGATGAAGAAGTTATGAATTTTTAACGGATTTTCCTGTCCCAGTCTTTTAAAAATAATAATATTAAAAATAAATTCAAAACTAGCCGAAGAATTCTAGACAAAAGTTGCAGAGCGTAATTTTAGCTACGCGTGCATATAAAGAACGTCAAAAACAGAGCTCGTATGCAAAAGTTATGGATTTTACAAGTTTGGGGCTCAATTACTGAGAAATCTCGCATGAATAGTAGCATACACATCACCTCGCACGAAGCAGGTGCGTCACCGAAGTCGTGGTAGAATCCGGGTCCGACACATGCTGCTTTCTAATTGGACCGAGGCTGAAGCCTATCCCCGTTCGACGCGCCTCGCTCCGTGTTACGTCCGAGCTTCGCACAGATGTCCTTTCGTATGCGCGCCGCATGTACCTCCTCCCTCGCTGACTCGCACCAGTTGTTCCGACCCTCGCATCTGAGCCTCGCCTTTGCATCGTGTGGTCTTCGCTACTACTGCCATGTGCCTCTCCGGGTTCGAGCCTCTCGCCTATAAATAGCAGGCTTGCGAGACTTCCCGGGTAATTTTAGAAAATTGCCATTTTTGGCCCCTTTTTCCATATTTTCTTTATTTTGACTTTCCCTGAAGCCCCGGTATCAATTTTAGCACCCGAAACATGTCCCGAGACCCCCGAGAAGCCCGAAAATTTTATCTTTTCGGTTTTAAAGCCCTCCCTTCGCAGAGCCCGGTTTTCAATTAAGCTCCCAGTTTTCAACATAGAAAGTCATATTTATAGCCGAAATGCTGTCTAAATTACTATTTTAACCCCCGGTTAACTTAATGTGAGTTCAATATATAGGAACAATTATATGTTATGTGTTATATGTGTTATGTGCTTCTCAGTGTTATTATTCTGAGTTATTCTCCCGTGTTATTTTATTCGCTATGTTTATAGCAAATATAATATCTTTGACCATGTGATTAGTGAAAGGACTTAGATTCACATTGGTACTGGTACGTAGCCTGTAGCCATGTAGAACATGTCTCTATAAGAGAATAACTTCTATTCTATGGCATTGGCAGAAAGTTAGATAGGAATCTCCGACCATGTAGAGCATGACTCCGTAAGGGGAATTGAACTCTATTTTATGGTATTAGCGAATGGGTAACCATGGCGTGAAAACCTAAAATCTACCGAAATGGTTAAACAGGGCGTGAAAACCTGAAATCTACTGAAATGCTAAATAGGGCGTGAAAACCTGAAATCTACAAATTGATAATCATAAATTATATGTCTTCTGTGCCATTTAGGCCAAAGCTTTATTGATGCATATCAAGTATTGAAATCGTTATGTCTCATTGAAAAATATATCTTTTGAATAAAGTCTTTGATTGATATGAATGCTTGTCACATGATTTCACATATGTCTTGTTGTTCGTCTTTGCTTTTTCCACATTGAAGTATATATAAGGCATAAGATTATATTATATCTATTTATTGAATTCACTAAGCGTTATCGCTTATTCCTCTCAATGTTTAACAATTGCAGGCGATAAGTATCCAATATAGTTTTATACTGCTGAAAGATTTAGAATAGTCAATACTATTTTTCTGTATTTTAATGTTCATGTATGTATATGAATAGTGGATTCCTGGGTAGAAATGAAATGTAATAAAACTTAGTCGGTTTGTCTCCAATCCTTTGTAATCACTTTATCAATATAATATATTGTTTTATAAATATACATGTAGCATGTTTTGAGGAAGTAACTTAAGAATAATATTAGAAATGTATGAAAGTTTGGGTCTTTCATAAATATGAAAGTTGGGGTCTTTCAACCATGGTATCAGAGCAATGGTTTATGTGAACTAAATATCACGGATTGGTATTTAGACATAAACTGTTGGAAGCTCAATATATGAGCTGATTCATAATAAGTATATGGATACAAACCATAGGAAATATTTAAGTGGGGGATTGGGTAGTGATAAACACTAGTATTTTAAGATATTAAGTTACTTCAGAATTTTAAGAAAATTAGTTTAAGTAAACTAGAAATTT